TCTTTTCTTTAACAAACACATGAATGCCCTTCCCACATGGGCACAAAGAGGGGAGGGGGGTGGAAATACCCAAGAAATATCAAGGACTCATTTATTATTATGCCACTGCATAATGAACAGAGCCATTGTTCCTACCTGGGCTGACAATCCCTTTCAGACAGCACAAGTACTTTTCCCAGCGTGTTCTTCAAAACATGGCAAGACCAAAGCTACCAGCAGCTTGGTGAACAGTTCAGAAAATAAAATAAAATACAATACAATAAAACAGCTAACATTATTCAGAGGATTTTCACACTTGATCTGTAAACACTTTTTTATTTAATAAAAATAATCATCCATTATAGCAACTTCTGCTCATGGTTTGGTTTTCTTTTTGTTTTTGTTTTTTTACATTAAAGCACAGTTTATTTGCTTTCCTCACCTCTTGAGGATTCAGTTCTGAAAATGCAAGTGAATGTAAACACTGCTCTCCAAGTCCCAAGATGCATCCAGGGACACTTGGAGTTAATTAGAAAGTCAAAAGAGAGAGCAAAATCAACAAAACACTTCCCAAAAGTAAAAACGTATTTTTAAAGTCTCTTCCTGTGTACCACACAACTCCAGAGAAGGCAAATTCATTTATACATTCAATGTATACAAACTTTGCTTTCTCCAAACCATTTCTGTGACTTGTCAGCATTTGATAAAGCTGTTTTCCCAACATTAAAAGACTTGCAGATTTGTTTATTTATTGTGTTAAATCAAAAGTTTTTCCTATAAATGTTCTCCAGAAATTTATTCATGGCACAAGGATGTTAGATTTGTTCTGTCCATTTTTATTTTGGATTTATTTTTTTTTTAGCACAAAGAGCTGAAAGCCATTTCAGGAAAGAGTGTAAAAGCAGTATTAACTCTCTCTCCTGCTCCAATCTCACAATATTTACACTTGGATTAAAAAAAAAAAAAAAAAAGCTTAATTACACTATAAAATAATGGAGAAACTGGAAGTTAAGTTTCCCATTTCAGAGTTTTGCCTTGTATAAGACTGAAAGAGGGATGCTTCCCTATTTCCTAGGAAAGATGAGACTGGCAGGTTAAAAACTGAACTCTTTCTTAATTGAGAAAGATGAATTGCCACTGTGCACAAGCCCCTTCCCCTCTGCAGGAAATCCTGCAGGAGTCAAACCATCACAAATCAGCACAGATGAGATAACATGATATGCAGAGCCCTGCTGTTTGCTTTGAAACGTTACCTATTTACAGTTGAGGTGGAGGAAGCAAGTGAGCATCGAACACATTTCAGTGCTGCAGAGTGGTATAATATCAAACAAGATTAACTCAGGGGAGCTTGGCAGGGTCCCAAGGCTCACGTTGCAAGGCAGGGACAGTCCCTGTTGCCTGGGACATCCCTGCCTGCACGGCAAAGCCACCACTCCGTCTGCGCTCACGAATAACGAGATGGCAGGTGCCATCTCAGCTGTGTTGTGTCACAGGCAGCACAGAAACTAAACAGAAACAGGTATGACATTAAAAATATAGCAACAAAAACAGCCAGTCTGGTGAGGTCTGTGATCCTAAGCTTATAGCCAAAAAAAAAAAGAAAAAAAAAAACCAAAAAAACCCAGGAATTTGGGAATTTTGGTAATATTATCAAACTGTCAGGTAGGAGGATGGCTCTAGTTGGTCAGTGGTTTTGAGTGAGGGGCTTTGCAGGGGGTAGGAAAAGAAAGACTTTTAAGGTATCAAAGATAATTAAAGCATTCACAGTTTCAAAGCTGCTTGCCTTACAAAAATTAAGACATTCAAATTCATGAATACAATACTCTATTTTACAAGAGGGTCAAAATTCATTACATATACAACAGGGGGGGAAAAAAGACACAACAAAATAAAAAAGCCAACACCTCTGGTGTGGCATACTCCCTCTTTGTTGTTCATCTCACAGAGCTGCACGATGTTTGCCTTCAAAGAGTCAAACTAAGCAGTCATGAGAATATCCACTGAGAGATTCTGGCAAAAGAAAAAAAAAAAACTAACAAAATAAACCAAGCGAGTCAAAGGCCATCCTCCCCTGGCAAGTCGAATGCCACAGCTTGGAGCTCCACTTGCCTGCTGCTCCTCACTGCTGCTGCCCGCTGCTCCCACAGGCTCATCTCAGGTTTTAAAGGCTTCCTGCTCACCAGCTGAAGGAAGGAAACCATCCCATGCAAGCACAGCCCGAGACATTCTTTACACTCCTACAAAGTCTTGGCTAGTCCTGTCAGTAGCAAAGGGTCCTTCAAACACTCCTTTTCCTCTCTATCCTGCAGAGGATCCTTTTGAAAGCCCGTCTGAAGTCATGGTTGAAAATGGTATAGATGACGGGGTTCAAGGAGCTGTTGCAGTAACCAAACCAGAAGAAGAACTTGAAGAGGGTGTCGGGCACGGAGCAGCTCTCGCAGACAGCCATCAGCGTGTAGGTGAAGAAGAAGGGGAACCAGCAGATGACAAAGACCCCGATCACCACTGCCAGCACAAAGGTGAAGCGCTTCTCCCGGTTCTGCCTGCCTCTCCAGCGGGACCCTTTGGTGTTCCTCTCCTCCTCTGTCTTCCTGGGCAAACTGTCCCCGGGCTTAATTTGGCTCAGCTTAGTCTTGGTCTTTCCTTTCGATGGTTTCTCTGACTTCTTGCACTGGTTGTTCTCCTGGTGCTCAGAGGAAGAGGTCTCCTCCATGTCTATGCCATTGACCTCTCCCTCTTGCCCGCCACTGCCTCCTGCTGCCTTCTCCCCATTGAGCTGTGCCGTGGCTGGCAGGTCCTCCTTGTCAGCCAAGCCATTCTGCTTCTTCTCGGGGCGCTCTGCCCGCTTGTTCGGTGGGACCCTCGTCCTCCTCTTCGCTATCTGGTAGATGCGCATGTAGACCAGGATCATGATGAGGCAGGGGGCAAAGAAGGAGCCGATGCTAGAAGAGATGATGTACCACCTCTCATCGTTGATCTTGCACAATGCCACCCCCTGGTCAGCCTGCTGCCCGCTCTTCTTCTCGATGGAGATGAGTGGTGGGAAGGAGATGACAGCCGAGATGACCCAGACGATGAAGATGATGCACTTGATGCGTCGCGGAGTGCGCTTGAGGTTGTACTCGATGGCTTGTGTGATGGACCAGTACCGGTCCAGGCTGATGGCACAGAGGTGCACAATGGAGGAGGTGCAGAACAGCACATCCAAGGCCAGGTAGATCTCACACCACACTTTACCGAAGTACCAGTAGCCCATCACCTCATTTGCCAGCGAGAAGGGGATGACCAGCGTGGCCACCAGGATGTCAGCTGAGGCTAAGGAGACCAGGAAGAGGTTCTGAGGGGCTTTGAGCGCCCGGCTGGTGAAGACAGCGATGATGACCAGGACGTTGCCAAAGACGGTGAAGAGCATGAGCAAGCTGGCCAGGCTGATGAGAGTGATGGTGGTGTGCAGAGGGTACGGCGCGTCCCAGCCCGGGCCGGCCCCGCTGTCGTTGAAGGTCCCATTAGTGCCGGGAGGGGGGTAGCCCTCCTCCTCCTCCAGCTGCCGCTGGTACTCCATGGAGGAGAAGAAGTGGCCCCTCTCCGTGAACGGGCGCTCCAGGTTAAACATCAACCC